CTCCTAAAAAATACATTCTCTTACATCTCAATACAATACACTCTTAAAATTTAACGCTGACACGGTGTATCTAACAAATTGCCCATATTAAAATTTCCCCAATTGTCTCCATGTCCTTTATACTTCTGATTCATTCTGGATCCAGAGATCACCTTGCATTTAGTTGTCATTTCTTTTGACTGTTCCCTGTCTCTTCTGAGTTTCTTAAAGCATTACTCCTTTTATAATTCCCACATCCAATAGGGCATAGTACACAATAAGCAGTCCACTGCAACGTAATGGGATTGAGACTCAACATCTGGTTGCCTCCAGCTCATTCAATGTTCCAACTCATTGCAGTGTTAAAGAATCTATACTAATAAAAGGTCTGCAGCCAAAACGCCCTAACACCCAAAGGTCGGCATGGGTGGGTGGGGTACGTGCTGAGGATTCTCGTTTTTAATAAACTAAGGTAATCCCTAACAGGGAGTGAGAGAAGACAAAGTAAAAATACAGAAACCAATGGCAGAAACATGCTATGGAAATGGTTATTTGCAAGAGGTAAAATAACACGCTTCGCAACAGTCAGGAACTACTTCCTACCAGGTAAGGAAAGGAACTCTTAAGAGACACCAGGTACAGTGTGAGAACAAAAGTTTGCCCCTCATATATGTGTGTATGTGTATACACACACACACATATATATATATACATATACACACACATATATATATTTTAATATATTTTATTCATTTTTTTACAGAGAGGAAGGGAGATAGCCAGAAACATCGATGCGAGAGAAACATCGACCGGCCGCCTGTTGCACACCCCCCACCGGGGATGTGCCCGCAACCAATGTACATGCCCTTGACTGGAATCAAACCCGGGACCTTTCAGTCCGCAGACCGACGCTCTACCACTGAGCCAAACCGGTTTTGGCTATGTGTATATTTTTTTTTACTTCACAAGAATCTTTAGTAAAAAAAAAAATTCTCAGAAAGGTCGTCTACTTCTGCCTGGAGGCAGATTCCCAACCCTCATCTTTCCACATGCTTCACGTAACTAAGAGAACACTAACTTTAAAACAAGAGGGACAGTTTTCAAATCTTGAATCCCAGTATCTTTGGAACACTGTGGGACGGTTCAAGAAGACAAAAGTTCTGTAATTACTGAACAAGTGGAGCCAACTGAAAACTAGGATAAATTAAGACTCAATGGATCACCTTGAACCCCAGGAATTAATGGCCTATGTTCTGGGAATCTGGTTGGAACTAGTTATTCTACTTTAATTTTTGTAAAATTTCCCACTTTAAAGAAAACTTTCTGAAACAGTGTGAAAAGCTGGCTTTAGTCACAAAACAGGAACTGAAAAGTCTGGTTGTGTCAGATGAAGGGAAGTGTTGATTATTTTGACTTGCTCAGTGACTCATGGTACCTGGTTACCCAAAGTTTTTGGGGTGTTCCACTAAGGAATATTGCCACAGACATGGCTTCACATCAGAACATGTAACTGGAAATATAGTACTCCTTAGACTCAGGCCAAGCAAGATTTGGGCCCTTGTGTCCTAATACCCCCTTCTCCTCCCCCCTGCTCCTAGGGTATGCACTTGTACAAAAACTCCTTTCTTTGCAATAAAATGTGTCAGTTATGGGGGAAAGCAGAATCCTGCTTACACATTAGCATTTTGTGCTCAGGACTTGAAGCCAATATACAAACCTCGTATTTGCACATTTCCATGGTGACTCTAAGCTAGCAGAAAATACAGGACAGCATTTCTAAAACTTACTTGCTTATTCTCACCTCTTTTGGCAGAGGAAAGGGTAAAAGTACTGAAACATTAATACCAAGAATCTTACTAAAACCCTTAACTTTGGGTGTTAATTCTTCTAGAGATGGGGAGATTGAACCCTCTGACCTCAAAATTAATTATACCACCAGTTGATGACTAAAAGAAAAATCTGAACAGAAAATTATTTTTGCATTAAAATGAACAGGAACTACTCCAAAATACAACAGCAATACATTTAGTTAAAAATCCAACATCTCTAATTTGAATGAAAGTAAGTATTCTGAAGGGAACTGTCCTTTGCTCTAAGGCAAATTAGCTTTATGGGGCTGCTTTTGTTTGTTAATTCACCTTTACTTATTTGCTCAGCTGACTTTCCTAAAATGCTTGCTTAAAACGGGGAAGGAAGACAGGCAGCAGATTAGAAAACACCCATACCACACCTTGCATTTGAATAAAGATTTATTATTTTCTTCTCAGGAAAAAAAAACAGGAAGTTAGGGAAACACACTAAATTTTACAGCCCACATTTAATTTGTAGTTGGTCCTAACCCCAATGGTACAGCTGTTAACAATAGCAGCTGTTTAACCAGAACCAAGGTGTCCACCCCTACAGAATGTTACACTAGAGGACTGAAGGTTTTTCCCTGAGAGAAGCATAAGACAGAAGTTGCTGAGACAGCCATCTTTCCAAGCATTCCCTCCTTTCCCATTTGGAAGGCTTTGCCTGAAGTATGTAGCTAGTCAGCACTTAGAACAAGTGCCTCCTCTCCCTATAAAACCATCCACCCTTTCCAAAGTACTTGGGCTCCCTAAGCCTTCACAAACAATATAACTAACATCCTCATTTCAGCATTCATTTCCACAACTGGATATGGGGAGACAGGCCTTTTAGTCACCTTAGCCAGATCTTAAGTTTAATTAAAAACTACATAAAGTGCTTTTAGGTCCTTAGAGACAGACATGATATAAATAAGTGGTTTATGATCAAGAATGATAAATACATAGGTAAAAATAGCTCTAGCTAGATGACTTTATGGCTCGGAGATGGGCAGGCAGGGCATTCTTCCCTATTACATTCTTAGTCATTTTATTCATGCCTATTTTTATCTGGAGTCCACAGACTAAAGATCACATTCTGAGGCTGATGTGTTCAAATGACCCTAGTTCCAACATTGCTTTCTTCAGCTTGACTTTAGCCTTTATAGCACTCAGTACCTAGTTCTACAATTTTCAACGATCATATTCAAAGGAATCTAGAGAAAGCCATGTGATATATTCTCCCCTCTAAAAATTTTTAAGGGGACTTTTGAAATTTCCTACTCTCCCCCCAAAAAGGTAGGAAAAGCTAAAACCAAAAAGGTACCAACCAGTCCAAGGAAAAGGGACTCCTCCCACCTCACAGAACCATGTACTACCAAGGATAAAATTCATGAAGGATAAAGGTCTGTGTCCACCTATTGGGGTGGTTATTTAGGTTCCTAGTGACCAAAACTAAATAGGCTAGAGTTCAGGGATGACAGGGTAAAGATGTAGAAATTTATCTAAATATCTGTAGAGGGAGCAGAACAAGCAGCAAATAATTCAAAGAAAAAATAGGAAACGAATGGTAAGTTCAATAGAACAAGTTCTGAAATCCGAAGGGATGTCAATGCAAAAATTTAAAACAAAGTTTGGGAATCATTAATAGAAATGAAACAATTAAGTATTTGCTTTATTTATATATTAGGCTTAGACCCGTGTTTAACAAGCCAGCCTAAAATAGCACCATGGTTAGACTATGGCCTGCTTTCAAAGCCATCATTTTACAACTTATGCAAAGGGATCAAACATCTCTCATCCACCTGATGAGATCTTTTTATACACATACTGCTGGTAAATCCCATTTGAACAGCTGAAAACCTTTTTAAAAGCTTTGTAGATGAACTCATGAACACAAATTTCACCAGTTAAGCTAGGTTGAACAGAAGGAACTCAAAACAAGTTGTTGCCCAATCAGAGCTCATTAGTTCACCAGTTAAGCTAGGTTGAAACAGAAGGAACTCAAAAAACAAGTTGTTGCCCAATCAGAGCTCATTATTTGTAAATCAATGGCCTGCTCCCCATCTCCCACCCCTCTTAAAACAAACGACTCAATCATTGAAAATCTACATGTAACGTATTGAAAGAATTTCCATTAACCAATTTCTCAACCCAGATTAAAAAAAAAAAAAAAAAAAAGCCCTATAAGGAATACTTACCAAAATCTGATAGGAAAATTAAAGCCTGCATAGTTATGAATCAGAATTGTTCCATCATAACCAGGTTGCATACAATTACATCAACTGGTTCTGTATACAATCTAGAATTGACCAGGACAAAGTTTAGGATAGAAAAGCTGTAAGAAATAAGTTCCTAACTATAGAAATTGTAAATTTCAAAATGGTATGAAAAAACTAATGGAAATTCTACTCTTGTGCCTTTACATTTCAAAGAAATAGACTTTCTGTAAAAATATATACAATTTTTACAGACAAACACATTTACAAGTTGTTTTTATCTTAAAAATTGAGGACAATCCACATTTGTAACTACAATTATTGAGCCTTTAAGTCAAGTATTCGTGGCCATTACAAGGCTAACAAACTAAACCACTCAAACCAAGTCAAAGTAGAACAGGTATAAAGTCCTGAGCACTTGGACTTTCTATTCTTCAAGAAGCATACTTGGGAAAGCCAATTATACAGAGGAAAAAGCTTCCCTTCACACACTGTTGTACAGTACTGAGGCTTCTAGTCATATTTCTGTTGTAGCTTAAATTCACTTTACAGTTCACTGGCATTGTTAGTGCTTGTTTTTTAACACTTTAGAAATTAATGGGCATATTTAATGAACTCTGCATGACTAGCCTGGCTACTGGCCACTCTCCTGTTCTAGGCAAGGATAGCAAGTCTCTCCACCCTACCATCTTCACTAAATCTAAAAGTCCTCCTTCAGGGCCTCCCAAAGTTTGCAGGTTGCTGAAACTTAACTTTGCTTCTTTTAGAGATAGTGACTCTCCAATGGGGACTACTTTTTTCCATGACATTTATTCTTGTTAGCCATAATCCTCTTGCCACTCGTTTTTCTCGTTGCGTGGAGGTTACAGCCTGTACAGCTTTGAAGTCCAACTTCATAAATACACTGGTTTCACAGCAGATGGTTGTGGATCTGGTGCGTGGAGTTGGTTAAGAGTCAATTCTTTCACTTAAAAGGCTATCTTATTAGATATGCCAAACCAGCTCCTACTCCAGCAACACCTGCAAAAGCCAGCAGCACATTTCTGATGCCACCTTCTAGGTCCTCTACATGGAAGAATTCCACAAACCCATCCTAGAAAACAAAAAGAAAAGCACATTTTCAAGTATGGGGCTTTCCCACTGACTTACAAATAAAAGACAAATTGAAACATCTAAGTCCTGTCTCCATTACACTATGAACCATTGTTTATCCCCCAGCTTGCAAAAGAGACATTCCCTTAAAATGAGGGTGGGTTTGCAGCAAGGAATGTATTTTACTATCCCCAGGTGATTAAGTTGCCAGCTAACACTGCTTCATAATTGAATCCACTGGTGTTATGAGTATGCAACTGAATTACAATAAAACAACAAAAGCAAGACTCAAGTACCCAGCAAAATAGCCTACAGGAAACCAGGATTTTTGCTGCAAAAATTTAAAGACAGTCACACCACCACCTCTATGGACTCTCTTATTCACATCAAGCAACCGGAGGTCCACCAGTCAAGAGCGTGAAAAACTTGAGTTGTGCATCGGACAAACCCTTTAGCTATATCCCCACCTTCTCTATAAAACCCCTCCCCGTTCCAATTCCACCCCCCCCCCAGCCCCTTCTAGAACCTTCGAGAACTTACCCAGCCTCTTTGTTTCACTAGCCAGTCTCGTTTCGTCCTCACGAGAACGTCTGTGATGCTTTCTGCCAAGGGGTCAATGCAGCTTTCTTGGTTGATGCTCTTCAAGTGTTTGGCCACAAAGGCACCAAAAGAAATGAGAGTCACAATCCTGCCCCAGTTTGTTACCCCGTCGCTGAACACGTGGATCATCACGCGAGACAAAGACTTGACGTCGTCCTCGTTCTTGATGTCCAGCTTGCGGAGCATACCTGGGAGGAGGGAAGCACGCGGGGTCTCACGGCCGCCTTTGTCTGGGCGGCGCGGCCCGCGGCCCACCCACGGAGGAGGAGGAGGAGGGGGAGCCGGCGCCCCCGGTCCCCGCAGCGCCCCGGCGACCCCGGTGGAACACTGACATCCCACCCTTTCCGGCCTTTGAGCGGAGCCGTTCCCAGAGAATCGAGGGGGTGGGCGGAAACAATGACTCATGGCCAGAATATTCTGGTTTCGGAAATAGGATGAGAGCCACCGTCTCCACACTGACTAAAAATAAAAATAAAATAAAAATAAAAAAGAGAGCGCAGCCTCCGTGACGATAGGCCTCTTACCTTGGAAGGCCATCTCGTGGTTGCGCTGCACGCCGTCCCCGACCCGCCGGAGGGTCTCTAATGCCTTCCGGCTGGAGGCCGCAGACCTGCCCAGCGGCTTCGCGTCCTTGGCGCCGGTCGCCTGCTCCCTAAGGTACCGAGAGATAATCTCCAGCGACTGCCGGAACAGCTCGTCGTCCTCCTCCTCCTCCGCTGGGGGCGGCGTGGAGGGCAGCGAGCCGCCCGCGCCGGGGCCGCGGCTGGCCTCCCCGACCAGCAAGGGCAGGACGGCCGGCCGCTTCCCGAGAGGCTCCGGCTCGTACCCGTCCAGCTCCTCTTCCGGCGACATGATGGCGGCGGCGGCCGCGGCGGCTTCCATCTTCTCAGGCGGCGCCGCGCGGCCGACGGGCGCGAACAGCCGCCGCGCGGGGGTCGCGGTGACGTCGGGGCCCTCGGCGCCAATGGGCGAGGGCCGCGCGACCCTCCGGGCGTCCGGCGCCAGGGCGGCCGAGGGGCTCGCGCCGGCGCTCCCGCCAATCACCGGCGCCGCCTCCCCTCCCCCGGCCTCTCGCCGCGCCGCCGCGGCCTCCTTCCCCGCGGGCAGGAGTCCTTTTCCCGAAGGCGACGCGGCATCGCCGCCGCCGCCGGCCCCCAGCTTGGCGCCCCCACAGTAGAGGTTGAGTCCGATGACTGCGTTTCTCTTGAGGCCAAACATCTCAAGCCTACGCCGCTGTCGCCTGGCTGAGGAAAAAAAGGGGAAGGCACCGACTCCTTACTTGAAGGAAGCGGAAGTAAGGAGTGAGAGAGCCGTTCCCTGCGACACGGTTCTAGAGCCGGTGTGACGCTGGGGCGTCCAGTAAAGAGGAAAAGAGAAAAAAAAAACTTCCCATAAAAGGCGAAAGGGCGGGAGCTTCCGGAGAGCTGCGCCCCAACGAACCGGCAGGCCGGAGGGGCGGGGCCTTCCGGCTCGCGGAACGCCCCTCCCCTCCCCCACCGGTTACGTAACGGCGGCCCCGGCGCGTCGGGGGGTCTCGTGCTTCCTCTCCGCGTGGACCAGGCGTGCTCGGGAGGGCTGCCCTGCCCGCGCCTTTGTGCGGGAGGTTTTTGGTTTTTTTTTTCTGCACCAGGATCTTTGCCGGATTGAGGAGAGGACGAGGCAGTTCTGCCTTGAATGGGGCAGCACAACCTTGGATCATATGGGCAAATGAGGGCATGGGGGGCACCTGTAGTTATTTTGCATATTGGCAAATGAGCTCCATTAGTTGTGTGTGTGTGTGTGTGTGTGTGTTTTTAAAATATATTTGTATTTGTTTCAGAGAGAAAGAGAGAGATAGAAACGTCAATAATGATAGAGTATCATTGATCGATCAGCTGCCTCCTGCCCACCCCTAACTGGGGATGGAGCCTGCAACCCAGGCATGTGTCCTTGACTGGAATCGAACCTGGGACCCTTCAGTCTGCAGGCTGACGCTCTATCCACTGAGCAAAACCAGCTAGGGCGCTCCATTAGTTTTCTAAAGAGCAGGTTTTTTTTTTTTTTTTTTTTTTTTTTAAACCATAGTTTGTTGACTTTTAGAGAGAGGAACCGAGAGAAAGAAACATTGAAGTGAAAGCATCGCCTCCATCAGCTGCCTCCAGCACTCCTCCCACCTCCAAGAGTGAGGGCCTCAACCCAGGCAAGTGCTCTGGACCTGGCATCCAAATGGTAATCGCTTGGTGCACAGGATGACGCCCAACCGAGCCACACTGGCCAGGACTGCCTTCTCACTGTTGAAGGCTGTAAGACTTCTGGGTGCTAATCAAACAAAATTAGATTCCCCAAGATAATCTGGTGACCCTGAGGCTGACTTTACTTGAAAATGCTCTAGCATGGCATTAAAAGATCACGTCGCCCTAGCTCACTTGGCTCAGTGGACAGAGCGTCGGCCTGTGGACTGAAGGGTCCCAGGTTCGATTCTGGCCTGGGTTTGGGCTCCATCCCCAGTACAGGATAGTTCTGGAGGCAGCTGATCAATAATTCTCATCATTGATATTTCTCTCTCCTTTCCTCTCAAGTCAATAAAGAAATATATATTTTTTAAAAAATGGTCATGTCATCTTTTTGCCTTGTTTCTAAAATGTGCATAACTTTTTCTAAACCACTCTCCCTGTGACTACAAATAATCTCTAAATATTATTCATGTGGTGTTTTTTTTTTAAAGATTATTCTTTTAAAAATATATTCGATATTTTATTGATTTCAGAGAGGAAGGGAGGGAGATAGAAACATCAATGATGAGAGAGAATCTTTAATCCACTGAGCCAAATCAGCTAGGATTTTTAAAGATTATTCTTGATGACACACTGAAAAGGTTGATTTCATGTTTTTGTGTCAAAATCATTAAGTGAACTTCTTGCAGTTTCATTTTTTATACTTCTTACTGCCTCCTATATTCTCTGATACTGTGTCTCAGTATCAGTATCTTCCTCTTTGGCCCCTTGAGTGTGGCTCTTCCACAAAATACCACATGCGGGTGTGCACGTACAGTGCGATTGAAACTTCCTGGCCCATGTATAGAAGTCGGTTTTCGGCTCTCAAAAGAAATTTCAACGTTGCACTGTTGATATTTGGCTCTGTTGACTGATGAGTTTGCCGACCACTGGGCCAGAAGACACAGCAAAGTAATTTTGCTTCATGGTGTCACACCATCACACACTTCAAAACCAGTTAAAAGACACATTAAAAGATCTTGCCTGGGAAGTATTAACTTGTTCCTTCAGATTATCACTTGTTCTGATCGATGGCACATGCACTCTCTGAACAGCACTTCAAAACGAATAAAGAAGTGGAAAATTGTGTCTCTGAATACTTTGCGTTAAAACAAGCAAAGTTCTATTGGGAAGGTATCCACAAATCACCTGAAAGATGGGGAGAATATGTAGCTAGCGATGGACATTAGTTTGAATAAAGCACATGATGTTTCTCTTGAAACTATTGTGTTTTCTTTGATTACAAAATCTGCCATTATTAACAATACACGTAGTATAAATAGATTATTTTGTGACCTCAGGGTATTAAAGTTATTAATATATGAGAAGCAACAACCATAGAGGGGAAAAAATTGACAAATATGATATTAAAATGAAAAACAACGTATTTGGTGCCAAATTTAGACTAATGAGCAAAACACATAAGCACACAGCGGAGGGAGCAATTGACTTTACCTCAGGAGAAAGTAATTTTGAGGTGGGTGTGAGCTGTGTGTGAGTGTTCACCAGGGCAAAACATTCTAAGCAGAGAGAAGAGCATCTGCAAAGGTACAGAGCCAAAACAGTGTGGTGCAGGGGGCAAAGGGAGAAAATGGGAGACATCTGGAATACTGTCAACAAAATAAAAAGAAAACAAACAAGCAAAACAGTGCGGTATTTATTCAAGGAAGCACCAGTGAACTGAATGAACCAATATTTTCCAAGTGACCAATGCATGACCATCACACTTGGGAAGAGGATCCATTCAAATCGCAAAATAGACCAATGGGTTTCATTGTAATTCAATAAAATAGGAGAGAGGGGCTGCGTGAGAACACAGGCTTTCAAATCAAATCACTCAGCCGTCCCACTTCCAGTTCAGTGACCTTAGGCATATGATCTGGTTTCTTATACCAGGTATGCTTGTTCACCTGTAAAGAGAGTATTCCTTCCTCAGGAAATTGTAAGATCTAAGGATCTAAAACAGCCATTTTCTTTTCTTTTTTAAAAAATATATTGATTTTTATTGATTTTTTACAGAGAAGGAGAGGGATAGAGAGCTATAAACATCGATGAAGGAGAATCATTGATCAGCTGCCTCTTGCACACCCCCCACTGGGGATGTGCCCGCAACCCAGGTACATGCTCTTGATTGGAATGAAACCTGGGACCTTTCAGTCCACAGGCTGACTGTCTATCCACTGAGCCAAACCGGTTTTGGCTAAGACAGCCATTTTCTAAGTGGGATACACAGACTCTCAGACCTTTACAGGGTCCGTGAGGTCAAAAGTATTTTCACAATACTAGATATTATTTGCCTTTGTCACCAATCATGCAAAAGCAATGGGGGTAAAAACTGCTGATACCTTAGCATATATCAAGGCAATGGATTAGTTGTCATTGTATTCTTTACTGCCACACACTTGCAATGAAAAAAAGAGTCAGTTTCACTTCAGAATGCCAGTGAAGAAGCAGCAAAAATGGTTAATTTTATTAAACTTCAATTATTGAGTGCATGGCATTTACTATTCTGTTTGACAATGAGCCCAGGCCGTGTGGCTCAGTAGTTGAGCGTTGACCTATGAACCAGGAGGTCACAGTTTGATTCCCAGTCAAGGCACATGCCTGGGTTGCAGGCTCGACCCCCAGAAAGGGGTGTGCAGAAGACAGCTGACCAGTGTTATCCTCTCACATCATGTTTCTCTCTTTCTCTCTCCCTCTTCCTTCCTCATTCTCTAAAAATCAAAACACATTAAAAAAAAAAAAAAAAAAAGAACAGTGAATTTGAGACTTAAAGGAAAACAACTTATAATATTTGTTGCCAATGATAAAATTTGAGAATTCAAGTGAAAATTATACTTTTGGAAAACCTGTATCTATACAGTGAACTTTGCAATTTCCCAACACTTATGCTGATGGGACTGGTTGTGATTTGAATGAATGCGACTATTTTTTTATATTGAATAATGAAATATATCAACATTTGGAATATCTGCATAACTGAGTGAACCAATATTTTCCAAATGACCAATGCCTGATCACGCTTGGAAAGAAGATCCATTCAAATCACAAACTAGACCAATGGGTTTCATTGTAATACAAAAAGTTCACTGATGTGGTTTCAAATACCACATTATAATTATCCTCAAAGAAACTACCACTTATGGTTTGGTGTACTATCAAAGGAGAATAGCCAACATGATTTGAAAAGAGTATTAAAATACCTCTCCTCCTTTTTTCAATTATCTGTATGAGGACAGGTTTTCTCCAAATACTTCAGCCAAAACAGATTAAAATGCATAAACATATAAGAATATCAAGCTATTTCTATGTTAAAAATATATATTTTTTATTTAAAAATTTTTTTTAATATATATTTTATTTCTTACAGAGAGGAAGAGAGAGGAATAGAGTTAGAAACATAGATGAGAGAGAAACATTGATCAGCTGCCTCTTGCACACCCCCCACTGGGGATGTGCCTGCAACCAAAGTACATGCCCTTGACCAGAATCGAACCTGGGACCTTTCATTCCGCAGGCTGAGGCTCTATCCACAGAGCCAAACCGGTCTTGGCATTAAAATAAATTTTTATTGATTTTTAGAGGCAAAGGAAGGAAGAGGGAGAAACATCGATGTGAGAGTGAAACATCGAGTGGATGCCTCCTGTTCTGATGGGGAATCAAACTGTTAGAGTAAGAAATTAGAAAGATATAAGCTGGGAGAGGCAGTTGAAGCTTGGAAGAACTAAGTGTGAGACGTGGCAAACTGAAAGTAAATAAAGGAGGTGGCAGGCCCCTATGTGAGCAGGAAGATTCAGAGCTCTCTAGGATGTGGTCTAACCAGCGGAATAATTAACACCTAGATGAGGCAGCCTTATAACTTAAATATACTTTTTTTTTTTTTTTGAAACAAGGGAGGGGGAAGACTTATTGAGACCTACTCCAGTCTATGAATATAAATTTCCCAAATCCTAACGAAGCAGGGCA